GAGAAGCTGTATGAAAAAGACTGAGCTCCTAAACAGTTGTTGGCAATGGAACAACAAATACTCCATTCCCTTTGAATTCTTCACTTAAGAAGAGATGCTAAGTAATCAATCGGTTGAATTTGTGGAGATCTTCTTTAAACATCTCTTCTTTTGTTTAAACCATTATTGGTCGATCTATCCCCCACATCCCCACGTAGGGGTTATAGTTCGATAGAAGAAGCATTTTTCTATTTGATATGGCATTCCCACATATACAAGTGCTTGTTTGAAGTGGATTCACTCCCAATCCCATATTCCATATATAGTCCCAATTCCAGAGGATTCGGTCATTTACTCTTTCGACCGAGAATTAGAAGCTCTTTCACCGAAGCTGGTTTAACATACGGCCCTTTTTAGAACTCCCGGTCAGCGTCTTCACAGAGGCATCAAGGGTACTAGTTTTTCCATGACATAAGTAGAAGTACCCGCCTTGCAATTATGCATGCATGGTTCTTCTTAGGTGTTACCGTTTCAATTAGATGATGGGCAACTATCCGACCTTGTGTGAATGAACCTTGATCACTCACAATAGTCTTGGAAGTGCTAGGTTATCGATATCATTAATGGAGGCATCAAAAGCGGAAGTAGCAGAGCGCCTCGCCCAAAAAATGTAGCATATGCAATCAATCAAGTGGAAATAGTAAATCGAAATTGAGATTCCGCAGTTGATGTTGCGAAGAGCTTGATACTAATCCATAAATGGGAGCATCCTTTATGGCAGGCATAAGGTCTCACTCGGATCCTCTACTACCTGCCAACCTAGATATGGATCCAACTTAGCATCTCTTCATGTTAAATAGCCAGAAGTCAAGGCAATGGCATACGATAAAAGCACAATGGATGGGATGGCATACCATGTGGTTAACTAAGCACGTTAACATCTCTATGCCGAAGGTGGTTGCATATAAAGAAATGAGCGCCGGTCACCCTGTCAAGCTCTCTCTTCTGTCTACCAAAAGTAGATGGAACTAGAGAAAGGGCTTATTCGTATGTTTCTCAATCCGATCGGAGTAGCCGGTTAGGCTGTTGAACCGGAAGAGGTTGGCAATTGTATTCGACTCGTATGGATATGGAGTTAAGCATGATCAGCAACGGCCCCTTTCCTCATAGGAAAGCTTGCTACTGCGAAGATGGTTGGTGGATCAAAGAATTCTTTGACCTTTTAAAGAAAATTCTATTCGAACTTACTTAAGCATTCGAGGGGCTCGCTGAGTCTAGTTGAGGGTGCGATTTGTATAGAGCCGAGGCTCTAAACAATCAAAATAAAGCGCACCTTCAAATGGTGTCAAGAAATGTGGTTTCAATACTAGAAATCTTTGTAATAGCCTTAAAATACATTTTCATGTCTAATTATAAAATTTAAAGCTTCAAAAATAGTCTAGATCGAGTAGATCTATGAAAAATTTGAAAATTGACGGTTCAAAAATGCATTACAAAATGCACTATTTCCAAAAATTTGAAATCCATTTTTTTCTCATGTCCATGCATCTTGAGGTCGAGATGATCAATTTGAAGTTATTTGGCATCAAAACAACCTTTTTTAGTGAAATTTTTGAGGTGTGTCCTAATTTGATTGTTTAATGCCTCGCACTTATATAAACTTTTTTTAAAAATATATTATCAAAAAGTGAGACTTAGATTGTAAAATATAAAATATATGAAAATATTTGTGAATATATAAAAATTTAGATTTAAATGTCAAAAGTAAAACCATTTCAAGTATTCACATATCCTCAATATTTATGAGCTACAAATTTCATAATCAGTAATGAAAATAGATGTTAGAGCCGTCTCGAGGCTTTTCATACTTGAAGTGTTTTCAAAACGAGTTTTGAGGTGGCACTATATAAATCTTTTTAATTCTTTTTTTTTTGGGTAAAACCTAGGGCTTATAGAAACTACACCTTCAGAAAGGAAAATTTGCATTTCCCTTTTATCTTTTTTGAATTTTAGATAGTTCTTTTCCAGCGGTCTCTTTTTTTAAATTTTAGTTTTGGTTGGACCCAACCCGATAGGGACCAACACTGACCCGGACGGGCCCGAACCCAAACACTACCTGGATCGGGTCCAAGTGACCTAGACCGGACTTGACCTGAACCCGATTGTCACACATTTGGCAAATTGTGTACAGCTGGGTGGACCATCCATATTATGGATGAATGGTTCACAACAGCGTTTT